AAAAAAAAATGTGAAAAATGATGTAAAAATAAACTTTTTAATAAAAACAAACAAACAAACAAAAAATGTTTATAGTTTTAATTCAGTGAAGGAACTGATTATTTTTAGGTAGTACGTCTGGAGACCAGTTAATTTAAAAAGTCAATTAAAAGGGAATTATAGAAAAATCACTAAAATCACTTTTAAAAATGTGCCTTAACATATTTTACATATATCAACTTTAAAAAAGCACATATATTTGTTAATTTTTTATATATTGTGAAGACTTTTGCTTCAAGCATGGGGCATCAGTTAGAGTACTAAAGTGTCTTTCTTTTCCAAATCACACCTGTATTTCATCCTTTCCATATTCATTTTTATCAGTAGTGTGAAATCTATTTGCAAAACAGTCTAAGTGTAGAATCTTTCAGATTTAGATCACACCTAATCTACAGTAAAGTTATTTTCAGTGGTTCCCTGTTACTGGGGCTTTCCAGATCATCCTTCTTCACTTTCATAAGAACAAGGTCATTCTCATAGCAGTCAGATTAAACTGACTGATGTGATTTGTGTTAAATGAACAGGTATACCTAGCATGAGCAAATTATGGGAACAAGAATAACCTAACGGTTAGCATAGATCTCAGTGCTAGTGTAGGAGATGTGTTGCCTTCAGTCGTTCTACAGAGGGAGGCAAGGGAGAATTGTGGTAAGTCAGTGAAGTGGAGGTGAGGTGACAGAACTTCTAATGAACAGTTATAGGAGAAAACACAAATATCTGTAAGCAAGCATCTAGAAGGGTGTTCTCTATTATGACCTCTTTTTCATGTAAAGGTTGTGGTGCATGGTGTTCTATGATGTTTGGGAATTTTGAATTTAAGAATTTACAAAATAAGGATATGGTATTGGTACTTTAAACCAAAACCAGTATATCCTATCAGTGAAAATGCAGATTTTTAAAATTATATTTATTTTTACATATTTTTGTGCATTTTTCCATCTCAGTTGCAATCCCCTTGGGTTTCCCATCACCAAATCACCCATGTGCCACCACCATAGAAAATGCAGATTTTATCCTGCTGCTTTTTTTATAATACTACTACAATCTTTTAAAATACTTGTCTTGGAGTATAATGGACCAGGC